GCAGAGGGGGAGAGGTGAACTCTCAAATATTGGTCACATAGGTGGGTGTGGCACCAAAGGATATCAGTTATGCTTCTTTTTAACCTGAAATCAGGTAAAACTTTCACACTTTGGTCTAAGATTGTGACGGTATTATGCAAACTTGAGGGTAGGGGTGTGGATTTGGAGAAGTTTTTTTTTCTTTTTATCAGAGGTAATTTTGTTGATTCTATACAGACCTGAAATGAGACGAGTCTGAAATAGGGAAAGGAGTTAAATGAGAATAAAGGAAATGATCGGCAACAAATTTATGAGCCTCTTTATTGTTAGATCTATCCTTTCTTAATCTGTTTCACTGTATATTACTCGTGGTTAAAGTGACTCATGCAGTTTCTATACTTGCCTATCTCATGTGAACAGAAAATATCAATCAGCTTAAGAAACAGTTACAAAATGTTGGGGAAGCCTTGGAAGAAACACGGCAAACTGGCAAAAATGAAGAACACAAGACCAACCAATTACTTGCAGAAAAGGTGGGATACAAACCATATGTTAAGAGATAAGGCACCAACCATTTGTTGGAACAAGTTTTCAGACTTTTATTCCTTTAACTACCAGGAGTGATTAACATGTAACTTATTAGATACTGATGAAATACCAGGATTTCTCCTTTTACTAAAAAATCATATCTTCACCACGTGCATTGAAGATACTATTTTTATCTTTCATGTGTGAGGATATTGGTGTGGCCATGGTTACCAACATAATTACCCAATTGCTGTTTCGAAAATGAATAAAAAAAAGTTGTCTTTATGTGGAAATTTCATCAGTATCTACATAATAAACAGGACATTTCATGGCCACTTGGGGTTATGAATTATATCTTCTCGTGCTGAAAGTGTCTCTCACGAGTGAGCACAGTGAACTCGTGAGAGATACTTTCAGCACTCAAAGATAAAATTCATATCCCTGTGCAGCCATGTAATATCCTCTATTTCTCCTTACAATATCCGTACATTATCCAGCAAACAGGTAATGAGAATATATACTCAAATTTATAAGGTAGAAGTTGTTATAATTATGATCTAACACCAAACTCTTGTAACTAATTTACAAGGAAATGTGTAGCAGCTAGAGGGAGGATAAACAATGAGATCTTGGGATTTAAAGGTGAAATATCAAAATGAATATATTTATGCTTTTTTCAGGGGGGTGGGGAGGGGAATTTTTCATAATTTTGCTTAAAGTTCAGTATATTCTAGCCAAGTAATTAAGCTGCTGTCCAGATTTCAAGTGAGGCTGCTCAGAGAAAATGTTGAACCAATGTTAAATGTTAAAAGTTGAACCAATGTAAGTGTGCAAGGTTCCTCAGAAGTACTTGTAAAGCATTACAGGGAAAATGCCAGCCAAAAAACTGCCAACAATTGCTGCTTTTTCATCCTGCTAATTTTGCCAACAGTGGGCACGTAGCAGCAACCCTGTATACTTGTGTAACACCAATGCTCTCAACCAATTTATAACAATTGCTAGAAGTGGAATATTATGAAAGACTCATCAAATCTTGGGAATGAAGAAGCTTTCTGCTGTATCATCAGATGTTTTCCATCTTGGTCTTCTTGTTGTGTTTTTTTTACAGGAAAATATGATTCTCCAACTTACAAACCAACTCCAGATTGAGGGAGAGGAGAAAAGGAAACTTCATGTTGTAATTGAGGAACAAGAAAGGTGTTATATCTTTTTTGCATTTATTTGACCTGTCAGAACTCAACAACTTAGAATTTCTTCATCTTGCTTGATAATAAGATCAAATGAATGTTGTATGTTTTCTTCTCTTGTCCCACAGTTTGTATGCTGAATTGCAAGAAAAGTGTTCCTCCCTTGAAAGTAAGTTTATCAAACTTATCAGAGCTCCAAGTTTACTTTTTTATCAAATTGAAAGTCATTATTTACTTGCTAAAAATAAGAAAGAGAAGAAAATTTCATGGTAAATTAGTACATAGAGGAATTACATGTATCACAGTTGGAATCTTATAAATTTTATCTTTTTTTGTATATGTCCCCATTTTGATAAATGAAAATTCCCCTTGCTTCTTAGTTTCTTCTACATATAACATTTCTTTTCTTGAGGTTATATATTTGATATATGAAGCCAAGCAAAAATGGAAACAGTGCTAAGAGACTTTTCAACAATTTAAAAGAACAATTCAGGAAGTTAAATATTTTCAGCTTAGAGATTGAAATGATGTAATTTTCTTTAGCCCAGAGATCAAGTCAAGGAGAAACTTTGCAAAAGCAAATGAGAGATCTGGAGTTCTACTCTGAAAAGGAGGAGAGATTGAAGAAGGAGATTGAGGTAGTGATAAATATATCTTATTAACCAAGCCCGAGGGCCATACTGGGAGAATATAGGCCCGAGGTCTTGACAGTATGGACCGACCGAGGGCCGATATTCTTCCAGTACGGTCCCGAGCAAGCTAGGTTAAAAAGAGATTTATTACACGACTGAAGTTCAAAGGGACACAAGTGCAGAATCATTCGGGACCATTCGGGACGGTGCCCGGTCCAATACTGAGAGAATATTGACCTGCAATAGATCATTTTGATTGGTTGACTTTAGTTATTGGCCCTCTGACTTCCCGAGTCGTGTCATAAAAACATTTTACTGTTGTGAATAGGGCATATATCTATAAGTTGCCACTTGACTATAAAGTTGAAAAGTTAGTGTCAAGCCCTGTAATATGGTCCAGAGTTGTAATGTTTGATAGAACACTTGTCACATGACTTTGAATGTACATTGTTGATGTGTTTGATAGCAACTTTGTGCTAATCAACATTCAATTCCTCTTTTAAGTTATCTTAATATCCCTTTTACCTGATTCTGATGCAGCAAAATCAGGAACGTATCAAAACATTGGAGGAAAGCATTGAAGCCGAGAGAGCTGCACACTTAGAAACAAAGTTCAACTCAGAGATCATTCAGGTGATTGTAACATTGTACATGATTAGTTCTTTGGGTGCCAGGATGCTTCAGTGGTTAGGGCACTTGGATTTTGTGGTTACAGTTTTACTTTGGTTCTTGTCTTTGCCCCAATGCTTCTTTTTTTCGGCTCTCCAGTTTTTCTACACCCACATGAACTGGAAACTGTAAAGTGAAGGCATGGAAGCGAGATCTATGAAATCTTTATACTATATAGTACTGTAAATCCTTCATTGACTAAGCTTGTTCAGTCAAGATGGCTCGATATTAGCCTGGTTTTTTTTTCTCGTCTCAGTCTATAAAAGAACTTGGTCAATATCCAGCCGTCTTGACCTCACACTTGGGCAATAACGCTTATTTATTAGTATGTTTGATTTGTGTTATCTCACGGAAGTTATTCCGTTCGTGTGTAGTTAAGAGTGCGAGATCTTGAAGGTGCACTGGAGGTGGAAAAGTCTGTAGTGGATGAAGCCAAACATAACCTTGATACATTGACAAAGCAACACAGGTTTGTACAGATAATTTCTGCTCTTACTATTGTACAAGGAATTACAAAATGATAAAGGTTTAGTACGATTTCTCAGCTGAATTTGTATGGAGATTCAAATTCTCTGAATGGTCGAGAATTGCGTCATATATCCTTGTAATCACACCGCCAGCAAGGATTATCATACTTAAGCCACGGCGACTGCAAGATTGTGTAATGTTTTTTGAGGAAGAAAAAAAATACACTAGTCCATTTTACAGTTGTGTGCTTGGTTGCCAACAAGGTTCACAACAAGGTCATCTTTAGCCTCACTCTGAATCAAAGACTTGGCAACTAAGTACACAACTGTAAAATAGCCTATTGCTCTCTACTGATGATTACCTCAATCTTGGCACACATTGTTGATTTATTCCGACAATATTCATTTCAACTTTGTTGAAAAATGGATTTTGTATGAAAAAGAAAACATTGTTTAAAATAAATTGTATAATGTTTGCATGCACTGTGCCCAATAATCTACCTCTATTAGGGAGCTTGAAGCGGCTTTTGAAGAAGAGAGAGATGCTTGTAAATCAGAGAAATCAAAAGCGGTTGGTTTAGAAGAAAGCCTTGCGAATGAAAGAAAGAAAATGCAAGAAGAAATCGATGAAAAGCTGAAGATCATCACAGACTTGTCCAAACAGCTTGAAGTTCATCAGAAGAACTTTGATGCCTTAAAACATGAACTTACTCAGGTAATTAATGTGGATCATCAAAGCAGATCTTTGCTCAAAATTTCGATCAGGAAAAAAAAAGACATTCGAAAGTACACGCTAGGGACATTGGTAAGATTCCCGCTCCGCTCAGCCTCGTAGCTCATTATGCGTACAGTTCCTACATCGAAAAAAAAAAAAAACCAATAGATTAGGAAGCTCAAGAACAAACCTATTATAGACGTGAACGGTCGCCGGAAGTTAAAAATTCTGATTCTTGGTGCTTCACCTTTTTAGCTATTATAGTTTGGTTTAAAATGCTAAATCGACGAATTTAGAGTCGATCCATTGACGTCAAAACGCGGCAAAATTAGTTTTATTCTACTTCCACTTGCCATCCGCGTTTGAAAATCGTCTCTAACTGTCTTTTGGACGACGGCTTTGTTTTAGAATAGTACGGGATTATACGGAAATCTTTCCAGGAAGCTTCAAATTTTACGGGCTTTAAATTTCAAAATCAGTTGAACTCATGTTATTACAGAAACGACTGCGTACAAGTTTCGTATGCATGTCTTCCACTTACCTGTTTTGTTATAAAGATTCATCTATCGCCATAACTATTAACTGGTACACCTTTTTCCAGGCAAAGAAACGCCAAATTCAACTGGACACCACCTATGGTAGTAGCATGCGTGAACTTGAACTCCTCCTTGACAATTTTCAGATTGAAAAACCGGAGGAACACAAACGACAAGGTGATTTATTCTCAGTCATATATGGTCTGCCCATGCGCAACTCTGTTTAACTATGGTTTGCTTCAAATAACATTCTGCCCATGCGTACCAGCGTCCACTGTTACCTCTACTTTCCTTGGAAAATTATGGTGACTCCCGAAGATAATTATGAAAAAGGAACACGGCAATCGAACTACAAACAGCTTACAAACTCGTTGATAAATCATTTGTCTAAGCCTTCGACTTTGACAATTTTTTTATTTGCATACCACCGGCAAGCCACGATAGTTTTCTCAACTTAGTTCTGTAATTGTTAAATGACTACAGGCCACAAGAAAGAGAAACAAAAGGCCTTGTCACCGGCTGCTGTTTTAGAAAATCTTCGTCACACACTGGTTGATTATCAAAACAGATGTTCCAGTGCTTCAGCTGAGGTCAGTTTGTGTTATATTTCTCTTACTAACCGGTGAGTTCGAGGTCGGTACTGTAAGTTAAGGTCCGAGTTTTTTTTCTCGGTGTGGCCGTAAATTCCGAGCAGAAAAACGGACGAGGTTAGGAAGATATTTGTTATATCTCTAGGTTCAAATAGGGGAGGAAGAATTAAATTCAAGCGAACTTTTGAATTTAGCGGGCCGTGCATTGATACATGGCCCGCAAAATTGACCAATCACACCTTCCGCACTAATTAATGGTGAAGAATATTCGGTTCGTAACTTACGGTGCGGACCTCGAACTTGATTATTAAGAGATGTATATTATAATAATTATAATAACGGTAAAGTCGATGACAACGGTAATGGTAAATAGTGGTTTGTTTTTTGACGTCTAAAGCGCAGTATTTCATTTTTTTTCTTGATCATTTTAGTACAAAAGGATGCGAGAGCTTGGTGAGAAGTTATCAACAGACTGTGAACATTACAAGGAAATGGTGACTAGTAGGGACAAGGCTATGAAAGTAAAAACACTATTCTGCGTTGAAGTTAACGTAAAATAGCTGCTGAACCGGGGCGTCTGAAAAGTTTGCTGCACTCTGCACAGCAACACATTCTAATCTTGGCCCATTTAAGAGCTGAGGTCTTTTTTGTTAGGGTCATTCTCTATTCAGCAGAGTTAAACCATTATCGAAATATGAAAGAAAATCGAGAAGAAGGTCGGGAGCACTTTTGAAGGTTATATTTAGCAGCCTCTTGCGAGGGAACTAAAAATGATAAAATCATGTACCATCCCACCCATAGCCGGACCTTTTTGTGTGGCCGTTGGGTTTGGTCTGACAATGATTTATTTTTATTTTTGTAGGAGGCGGAAAAAACAGTTGCAACTAAAGTTAAAGAGTTGGCCAAATCACGCCAAGAATGTGCTGAGAAGGAAGCTACCATTGCAGCCATGAAAATAGACTTACAAACACTGAACAAGGCACTAGAAGAAGCGCAAAACAAAGTTGAAAACTCAAAGGAAGAGGTGAAGCGAAGCTTTCAGTTAATCGTCATCATCAATGCCCCGAAAGCAATTCTGCCAGTGTGGGCTAAATCTTGTTGTTAGTAATCCGTGTTAATGTCTTCCATATCCATCGCCGTTCTTTCTCTTCTGATAATGACATCTTCAGTAAATCCCTGTGGTATTTTTCTTGATGTTCTTCTAGCATCCTTTGCAGGCAACTTGCAAGGGAGAAAGAGTCGGCGTTTCTGTTTCATTCTCGCTATTGCACTTCATGCCACCATGTTTGATTTTGGCAGTAAAGCGGACGAAGAGGGGAGGGGTGGAGGAAAGCTTCTGCTCCATCTCCTCCCCGCTTCTTTCCTTTGCCTATCGTCCACCCTTCGGTTAAATTTCTTTCTCTCCTCAACCTTCCTTTACTTTAGAAAGCCAAAATGGTGGTTAAACTTTCCCTACAAAATTACTGAGCGCTCGTCTGCCAAAATTAGTCCTTTTTTGAATAATGAAATGGCAGCTAAAGTTTGATAGCCTTGGGTATATTTTGTTTTTCACAGCATCTCAAAGTCAAGAGTGTTTTAAATCGTGAAGACGAGGTAAAAACATTCACTTATTTTATACAGTATTTCATAAATGCTTTCCAAGACAGTACTTAACTATAGTGCCTCCGAAATGATTGGCAAATGATTGTTTATCAAACTGTGTGATGTGCCTCTTTTTTTCAGGCTCATCGCATGTTCCTGCATTCCTTGTACCAGCGGATGATTACTGGACAAGTGTATGTTTCCTCACCAGACTCCGCGCTATCCAAATATTCCTGGACGGACATGTGTAATTTGGTGTCAGAGCAAGTGTCAGCTCATCTCAGTGAGCTTAATAGAGCGACTGAAAGGGTATTACTAAGTTAGTGTGTCCTTATCATGATTGTGGCTTCCTTTTGCACCAATAGTGGCATAAGGTCGCTTCGTTCTTGTCACAGGCAGGTTTTTTTATCATTGCAGATTCAGCACCTCGAAAGTGTGTTGTCAAGCAAAGAAGAGTCACTCCGACATGAACAAGAAGCTCACGAACAAACAGTGACCAAGGTAAACACGTCGAACTATCAAGTTCCCTCGGAATTACTTTGCCTCTGAAAATCTCACTTCTTGTTTGAAACCCTCCCCAGCTCTCCTCTGCCATCAAAGACCGCGAAGTGTCGTGGAAGAAACAGAAAGCTGAGCTCGAGTAGCATTACAGCAAGTTGATAAAAGATCTTCATTCCAGGACCCAGGTAACACCCTGTGCAGTTTGGGACCGTTTGGGTCAGTTATTTATGTCCTAACCTACCGTGAAGCTTTGAAAAATTGCGCATTAGCCGATATTTTTTATTTTGCGAGGTGTAAAGAAGATCGTGGCGTGACACGTAACGAAGTAGCGTGATGCGCTGTCACTGAGGGACAGTTATGTATAATTGAATAAGGTTTTGACTTTACAAGAAGGTCTTAACGGAGGACAATGTTGTATCAAGAGGATATGAACTGTATTCCATTGGTTGTATGCATTATGCAGGATGCCTCGGTAACCACGATGTAATCTCTAACATAAGAAAGAGACGATATTCTTTCCTCTGACGATGCGAATAAGCCTTCAGATTTCTCTATTGCACGCTTGTAACAACTTTTTTAACATCTTCTTAAAAAGTAACAACTTTTATTAGCATCTTTTTAAAAAACAACAATGTTGCCTTCTCCTCGTAGAAAACGCAGACATTAGCAGACCAAGCTTGGGAAAGAGCTCACGAAACAGGTCAGGTTAAGGACACACTTGAAATGGAGAACGCCCGGCTGCAGTTGTCTTTGGAGGAAATGCAGAGAAGCGAATCTTCTTTGTTAACCGTTTGCGCGCTTCTTGCCGGCGCCTTATGGCCTGCGTTTGGGAGAATACGAGCCTTGGCCTCTCAACGGAGAATATTATCTGAATATGTGAGAACATTGGAATCCCTTCGAGATAAGACGAACACTTTGGGGGAAATGTTAAGCCACGAGATGGAAGCCGAGAAGAGGGAAAAAGGTGACGCTGGGTCGAAAGAGCGGTCCCTAAGAGATGGCCGCTGTCCCGTGTTGGTGTTTAGAGTGGGTGTCATCGCTGTCATTGCTGCCAACAGACTGCGTCATTTTGGTTCTTATAGTTTAAAGTTGTTTGTCTCGTCTGAATCTCCTGGCGAGTTTGGCGGAATGTCTATTGTGTGCTGCGGGAAAATGTCAAGGAAAGCTGACTTCAAGGGTGGGTATTTGACGGTATTATCCAACTACACCTAGACGAGTACAAATATCACGCGGTATTTGTACACGTCTATTGTAGTACCNATACGGCACAACTCGTAAAAATACTCAGCGATACTACACAACAAAACGTCTAATAAGATATATATATATATATTTGAGTCACTTTTTTATGTAGCACTTCGAAAACTCCTTTTAGCTTGAAAGAGACCACAAAATATTTTTTGGGTGAAACGGGAAAAGTCAAAACAGCTAATAAAAAACTATGAAAGAACAAAGATGGTCAAAGAAAGAGTGGATTAACACAGATTTAAAGGATGAAATAGCGCTTTCCTTCCTTTCCGTTATTTACTCTGCCAGTGGTTCTAAAACCTTTGCGCAATTTCAGGTGTGGTTAACAACCACAAACGGGAATCTTCCCCCGCGGACACGTCACGCACAAGTGCTAGAGTGACGTCCGCACAGGCTTGGTTAACCAGCTCTCAGTTACAAAGTCACCTGATCGGTGCTGTGAGCGAATTGCAGTCGGCTCTCAATAAGACGCACGAGGCAGAGGATGGAGACTCTACGTGGGACGAACAAGGTAAGTTAATCGCTAAGAGGGGTGCTAGAGTAACTAAGCCCGACCAAGGCTCGAATTTAATTTTTGGATCACTAACCCTTCGGGTTAGTAGACATCTTTTTTACTAACCAAATTATAAAGTTTGGTATCCAAGCTGACAAGTTGCGATATCCCAATTATTGAAGATTTTGATAATAACGACTAGGACAAATTAAAGTGTAGCTGAAATTACATGGTAACCTAAAAAACGTTTGCAATTATGCACCTATTTTATTTCCCTCTCGTTTACCATGATTAATCAAGAACAGTACATCTACAGCACATTATCTAAAAGGAGTTTAAGTTGATTTAACAACTTGAGTATTCTAAGTATTCCTCAGAGTTGGGTCTATGTGCTTTTTGTCCCCAAGTCCACCAATGTTTTACTAACTCTGTCGGGTTAGTTGGACACATTTTAGTAACCAAACGTTGAAAATTACAAACCATTGGTTAACGGGTGATCGACGGTTAATTTCGAGCCCTGCCGACCAAACAGTTATATCCGTGTGAATTTTATCTCCGCTTCTAAAAAGAAAAATCACATGAAAACTAACTGCTTACTGCGTTTTAAGACTGACTTTTCCATGAAGCACAAGATTCGGAGAATCAATCTAGAACTTATCGCCAGGACAACATCGTTTTTGTTTAGAGTTTACTCAGGATAAGTTTGATGCTGGGTTGTTTACTCTTCCAATCATTTTACAGATGGATCTAGCAGAGCACAGAGTCCTTCGACTGGCAGCAATATAATAGCAGCAGCAAGAAGCGCGTACAGTAAAATTATCTCCAGGCTTCAAACAGAGTTTTCTGGCCGGGTGATAGGAGAAGAGGCTTGGCACGAGAGGTACTCAGGCTTCCGAGGGGAGATGATGGCGTCGTTGGGCTTGGGACTCCAGCAATGGCTGGCTAAAGCACCTGCGCGTGGTTTATCTTACATATCGTCTCAGGTGAGAGACAAATTATGTTTATAAAGTGCCTGTCGATCGAGTTTCGTAAAACCAAAACCAAAGTAATCACAACGGCCGATCAGAAGAACTGAAAATATTGTAAGAGCCAATGAGAACTCAAAGTAAAAACAAGCAAACTGCCTAAAGCGCGACAAAACGCGGGCGACCAAGTTGTGATTGGTTTTAATTTGGATATATCAACAAAGTTGAAATGGTAAATTGGCCACCGTAATGATTACAAAAGCTGACGTTTCGAGCGTTAGCCCTTCGTCGGAGCTAACGCTCGAAACGTCAGCTTTTGTAATCATTACGGTGGCCAATTTACCATTTCAACTTTGTTGATATATCCAAATTATTTCGTTACTCCCACCGACGCAACCCCAAACACTTTCTTTCGAAACTATCAGCCTTTATTCATTTGTGATTGGTTTTAGTTTTGCATCTGATTGGTTGAGAGAGTTGCACAAGTTTTTTGTACCAATCACAGAGCAAAATTAAGCAAAACCAAAGCAATCTCGGATTACATTCAACACTCGATTTAAAATTGCTTTTTCCTTGATTTACGTATCGCGATAGTGGATGTGATTAAAATACAAGAATTTCTCTTCTTTGAAAGTAGCGATTAGACTCTATCGCGTAAAAGTTGATGAGGACAAAGTTCGAATCATATATTTTTTTTTTGTATGAATCTTTTAGTAGTTAAAAACTTTATGACAAGACAGACTCATGTTCTTTACTGTATTTTCTTTACAACCACACAATGTTAGGTCACTCACTTCACTCACTATTTATCAGGGAATAGGTCGCGAGCAGCGTAGCCAATCAGATGGTAGCATTTGTGATAAAGCGCTAGTAGACTTGTACTAACACTTTGATATTTTTAGCGCGAGCAGCGAACAAGCCTACAGTTAACACTACTGTCACAGTGAATTGTAAATGAACGGGAAGTTTCTTTTGTTGGTTTTGTGCAAAATGATGGGACTGCGGTTGAACATTGTCCAGGACCAGGTCCTTAAAAAACTATTTCTTAACCTATAACAAAGACATCTGTTTGCTAACCATTTACCATTTCAATTTACCATTTCAATTTACCATTTCCATTTAACCATTTTCCATTTCCATTTACCATTTACCATTTACCATTTAATTTACCATTTCAACTTTGTTGATATATCCAAATATGTTGGCACCATGTCAAGCAGTCAGTATCTCGAATTTCTTTCTCTGTTCTTCTATAGCGAACCATTAGTGCCCTTCAAAGTCATATCCTTGGCTTTACCCAGCGCCTTCATGCGGCGGAAGTCGACAGACGTTCACTAAGACTTGAACTCTCCAGAAGTAAACAAGAGACTGCTGGGATGAAGAGTGCCCAGTCCTCTTCTGAGACGCAGCATCGTAAGACCAAGGAGGAAGCGCGAGGCCTGGAGGAGAGACTTCAGGAGATGAAAGAGGAGGTTTGTTTACACTTCTCGTTGCTCCGTGGGTTTTCACCCGCTTTCTTCAATTTTTTTTCTTCCACAAAAAGCACTCTAAATTCCAATTGGAATGGAAATACTGAACTACGAACCACCTCTCAGAGGAGCCACTCCAAAACGTCGTAAGTCGTTTTCTGAGGCTTGGAAAATTTTCTCAAGGGTGATGTAAAACAGAATTTTAGTTCGGAAACTAAGATAAATGTGCAAATGGGTAAAATGAACCAAAGAAAAACAGGATGGCGAAGATCGACATGGATAAAAATGAAGAATTAGGTAAATGAGGCTAAGCCGAACTTAAACTTGCACTTGGTAGACAAACCATAAGATATCTTTCTAAAACAATCCCTTTCCAACTACTCCACCCCTGAAACACAAATCCACCGGATCCCACCGCAAACACAAATTCACCTGACCTTAACCCCCCTCAAACGCAAGTCCACCCCCCTTCCCTCAGAGTTTTCATTGAGACTGGATAGATTTCAGCCTGAGAGTTGCTTTAAAGTTAGTCATTTGGAAATTATATTTGTAGTTGTTGTGGTTTTTTTTTCCCTTCCTATTTTAGATGTTGTCCATGGTACCTATAACTCGTTTTGAAAATGTTTGTGAAGAACTCAATAACGCTCTGAAGCGAGAGCAACAGGCCCAAGCCCTACTTAATGAGCAGACCACTCAGATGCAAGAAATGGGAGAGAGATTGGAACTTCACGCCAACCAAGGAGAAGAAAAGGATGTCACACTCGCTGAAGCAGTCAAGGTATTAAACCTCGTCGATGATGTTCTTACTGAAAACAAAGGTATAAAATAATTGCTTCTTACCAACCGAGTCCGAGGTCCGTACTGTAAGTAACGCACCGAGTATTTTACGCTCTGTTTTATGGCCCAAGAGCAGAGCGCAGGCCATAAATCCGAGCGGGAACAACTGCGGCGGTCCGTAACTCATGATCACAGTACGGACCGAAAAACGAGGTTAGCAAGATATTTCTCATATCTCTGGATTCAAATAGAGGGAGAAGAATTCAATTCGAACAAACTATTGAATCTGGCGTGCCATACATGGAAATACGGCCCGCTAAATTTACAAATCATAGCGCACGTACTAACTGAGAGATATATTATATTGTATTTTAGGGTCTCACTGAGGCAAAGATGGAGCTTCGCCGGAAAGAACACGCCGTCCGTCAGGTCTCAAAGCAAATGACTTACATGGAAAACGAGAAAAACGCTTTAATAGACAGACTAAACGATGCCGAAAAAACCATGACTGCCGCTGCAAGGTGAGTGGTGTACATGCTAATTGTTTCGACCACGAACGAATCTGAAAGCTTACAAGGATTGTCTGTTGGAAAAATAAAACTGAAACTTATACCCCATTCACACCAAAGCCTAAACATGCTTTAAAGCTGTTTTGTTAAACATGGTTTAACACAACAGCTTCATAGAAGCTGCTCAAATCGATATTTGGTTGACTTCAAATGTGGCACATTGAAAATACAATTTAGCAATTTCTTGAATCTTGTGGAAAATTTAGTTTTTCAGTTCTCTGCTTCTGATTTTTATTTAGTTAAACCTGGTTTAACTAAACAAGTTTTCTGGTGTGAATGGGGTATTAGTCCTAGTCCTTCAACGTGAATAAGGGGCGAATGAAAAATTAGAGGTTCCGAAAGAAGTTTCTGGCCTCTTGCTTTATGCATTGATCCGCCCTTTTGTTGTGACTTTGAATACGTACTACCTAGTGGTTAAAAGGTTTGTTGTACTTGGCAGCAGATGCACACAAGATAGTTTGGTTTTATCAAATGAGTTGATAGTGAAAATTGGCCACCGTAGAGAGTTTCCAAAGCTGACTTTTCGAGCGTTTGCCCTTCGTCCGAGCGAATGCTGAAAACGCTCTGACGAAGGCTTATCGCTCGAAACGTAGACCAATCACAGAACATCGCGAAATAAAACGAGTGCAGTGCATGCTGGATCTCTTGGACACATGAGTGAGAATAGCTCTGCAAGAGCTTGCTCATTGTGATTGAGTCTGACCTTGATTTTGTTTCATATCACTAAAATAATTAATAAAATAATCCTTTTAACATCAACAACAGCAACATTGACAACTAAAACCATTCAACAAATATCCTTGATCAGAATAACCGTTTTGGACTGCGCGAGTGATGAATTTGGCCAGCGTTTAAAAGCTTTGATTGGCGTTCATTTCAGGGAGAAAGAAGCTTTAACGGGTTACTTGAAGTCGGTCGACAGAGCCCTGGAACAGAGCAAAGATCAAGTACGACTATCTAAGGGTGCCATAGGGCCCTATGAGCACACTCTGCCCCAACTCATTCTTCCAGACGAGCGGTTAGCGATGGATGGTTTAAGCTTGAGTCCCGAATTATTATCTTGCCAGGTGCGATTGTCAAAAAACAAATGTATTACGGTGCCACAAGTTTAGAGGTGATCTCCGTTTTGTTGGAATAGACTTGCTTGACAAGTCTAATTCATAGAAAGAATTCTGTTATTCATCATACTCTCCGGCAGTGTTCGTTAATGTCTAGAAACTATTCCCTATTCTGTAGGCATTTTTTGAGTATACTCTGAAAAGAATATCGAAAAAATGCCACTTCACTTTGAAATTAGTCGTTCTGGCTTTCTAATTCGTAGCTTGAGAGAGCACCCTACAAAACCTTCCGTACTTGTGATTAAATTTGTTGTCAGGACTTTAAGATTTTTACGTATTTCTTTGTATCAGCATGTTGTGGCGTCATTTATCGAGTGCCAGCAGCAGGCATTGGACCGTATTTCCGAGCTTGAAATGGATAAACAACACGCTATGTCACGCTTGACACAATTAGAAGAAGAAATTAGGTCACACAAGGCACACATAGCCACCCTGAAGAACGAGCTGGCTGCTGCCTGTAGAAGGCCCATGAGCGACGACGGGCTGAGTGAACCTGGGCACTACATTCCTGGCGGGGTAACTTCTCTTGCACTATCTTTGTTGTTCAAAGTTTCTGTAACATTTTACACCCTCAGAAACTTCCGTGAACACCTTTATGTGAATTTTAACCTTCGACCCCGCAGAATGACTTGTATGTAAATTCTCCTTAAAATATCACCCCTGAATCACACATTAGGGTCAGGAGAATTAAGGAAATGATCACCTAGTAAAGAAGCTCTTGATTGTTAAACAAATTCTCCTTGTTAGCACCTTGGAAATTTATAGAGAACAGCATGGAGATTATGTATACTCGTGTAAGAGTGCGAAGGGTCAAGGAATGAACGTAACCGCATTTTCTTCAATGTTAAAACATGTGGAGAGAAAATCCCTCAGTTTGAATCGTATGTGATCCGCAAATTTTTAACTTTTCACTTCAGGATGGGTTTGCCGGCAAGGACTCTTCGCTGCATCGCTTTTCAGATCATAAAGATGACGACAACTTCAGGAGTTTCATTCCTTTGTCGTAAGTTGAAGTTTCTGTTCTGGAACCACTGTCGGAGCTGGATGTTGTCCAGCCATTCCAGACAGACCACTACCATGTATAGATGCTGGCGCTTCCAAGCACCACGCACACACACGCACACGCACACGCACACGCACACACACACGCACACACACGCACACACACACACGCACACACACACACACACACACACCATTTTTACCCCCTTTCTAACCCATACCCTGTAAACAACATGAAAATGTAGTTACTTATAATTAAGTGCATGGGTAACTGACTTTGGAACATCAATCCTTAACCATATCTTTCATTCTTCTCAGGGCTCATCGCGATTCCAGTGCATCTTTCAGGCCTTCGTTGGCCTCAACCAGCGGTCACCCAGACAGAAGTAAAGGCAGCTATGGAAGGTATTATAAGTGGAATCATCTTCTTATATAGGGAAATGGCTTTAAGTTCGCGTTTGCGAGAATTTGAGCTCGGATAAGTGAGGTTCCCCTATAAAAGGTCAAGGAGACGTGGCGAAATGCCAGCGCGAGAAGGGGGGGGGACTTAACTTGCAATGGGAACTGGGACAGGCTTTGTGCGTAGTGGGTCATTTGGCACGTGTACAGGCTTTTCCTGACGTTATAAGATGTATTCTTTTCTTCTTGAGCCGTTCATGGGATGTTTTTATCTTCGGTCAGGTATGTAGAGTGATCTCTTATGTTACGCTTTTTACCGATCTCTCTCCTTTCCCAAATATCAGACTTCTGATGCAAATTTACTTTCTTTCAGTCCAAAGAGACGCTTGACATCGAGCTACAGAAAACAGGGGAAGAAGCTTGGACAAGACTTCTCCCAACTGCTTGATCAAGGACTTTGAGAGCAAAGGCTCTTGAAGATGTGTCTTCATTTGCTAGCAAAGCCTATAGTGGACGATATTTTGATATTTAACTCAGTTCGGTTTTGGCAAGCCATACATTCAAGCATGTTATGAGTTTGGCGTTGGTGAAAGCGAAAGTAAAAACTATCAAAAGCCGTGGACCATGGCTCTTGTTTAGCTTAAATCCCCTTTAATCGGAATAACCAAGTCGCTCTAGACATGCTAGTTGGAAGAGAAATTTCATTCTGGAGCTGTATGGAAGAAGCTTATTTAAATACATTTACATAGATTATTCAATGGTAGTGTGTATTTGAGAGTGTTGTAAGTTATTTTAGTACAATAAAGAGTTATACTTTTAATTGAAACGTTCATTCTTCTCACCGAAATTTAGGAAAGGAGTGTGTTTTGATCTGGCGAGGATTAACT